TGGAACGCTCACACCTGCAAATTAAGTACAAAACTCGCAGAGGTAACTGGGGTACTCAAAATGCAAGTTTAATCCGGAAAACGTCAAGGATTCCGTTTCTTTTTCTCTATTTTATTGTCATATAAGTTTTGGAATCAAAATATGTGGTTCAACTAACAAAATATTAACAGTCTTCAAATAATACAAAATAGGGCTATAGAAAGCCTTTTTAACTGCAATTGGCTCGAAAGAACAGAAATTGTTACAAAAAACATGATGATACGTGATTACGTAAAAATCGATATTACATATTCACGAACTTTGTAACCAAGGGACTCATACTTCGAGTATGTTGGTCCAAAGAAGCGAAATACATTCCATACGTTAAATACCAGGAACAGGAACTTGTTGCACATTAATCGTAAAAACACACCGCACTAAGTTCTATTAAAGTTAGTCCTAATAACATTTTGCTCTATATCTTATAGTTTAACCAGTAAACGTTTTAAATGTTTTTAGAAAACATACTAAAAAGGCAAGTTTAATATGTTTCACACATATTTACATACATATTCTAATGATCTAAATAAATTAGATTGGATTTTTATTTCTAAGCCGATCGTGCTCAGATTTTGAAACTTTGTATATTTTTTCAACTAGGAATACTAAAGGAAGGAGCATAAGGAAAACAGTTGTATCTTGAAAAACAAAAAACATAGTGAAGCCAAAAATTTCAGTTAAGTCTCTCTCTTTGTTCCGAGTATTTCAAACTGAAGTTGACATTAAATGCGAAATGTTGTTGTTTTTTTTCATAGAAAAATACGCACCGCTGTATAAAAAGTAAACAAAGAAGATTTTGTTATTTTATTTATCAAATTGATGCAGTTTGTAAATAAGAAATTATAAATTATTTAATAATAAGGGTTAAAAAGGATTATTATTTTATAAAAACATATAAAAAAATTATAACAAGTGAAAAAAAGAAAATATTAATTCAATAGTGTTTTGATTAATTTATATTTTGTAATTTTATTAAAGTTTAATTTTGCAAAGAAAGCAATTGTTTTCGTTTTGTTTCAAATTAAAATTACTTCGGATAACATAACAAGATCGGATTTTTAAGGCAAAATGAGTTTGCGTTTAATAAAATGTCGCATACAAACAAATATTGTAAATGATCTTTTTTTTTTGTATAATTACAGTTTTCCTAGAAATGATGAAATGAAATATATTTCCCTTTATAAAGTGAAGATTTGGTGACCAAAAAATGCATGAGACTACTCAATGCCGATGAATTCAGTAAGTAAAATAAAATATTAGCGTGAATTATTTAAAAAATATATATGTAGCTTTAGAATGAATAAGTATATAAAGTTCAATTAATGAATAAGAAAAAATACAACAACATATCATCCACTTCAGTGAGTAATAACCATCATATCAATATAAAATTTGTTAAAAATTATACTATTTTAGAGTCATTATAATTTATATGTACATATTTATAATTATTGTTATAGCAAAATGACATTTCTGAATCATTTGTTTTTTTTTTTGATAAAAAATATTATTTTTGCCTATTTTCATTTTGAGTTTTCTACGAAAAATATTGATTAAAGATCAACATTTTTTATATTAAAGTGAAATATGGAGTTTTTTGAGCAACATAATATTAAAAATTTCAATTTCAACTGGAAATCAAAGTATATCTACTAATAAGTAATTCGACTCGTTCCATTCCGTTAGTTTTCGTTTGCATCTTGCTTCCAAATTCTTAAAATATTCCATTTTTTTGTAGAAATAGATGGTAATAAGAGTTGTGTAGGCAAGAAAGAAACAAAATATTGTAAACAAACGAGTGTATCAAAAACATTAAACTAAAATAAAATTAAGTTAGGTAAAAATTTTGTTATTTTTATTTTGATAATAACAAAATTTATTTTTCATTTTATAAAACTTAGGTAAAAAATTCGAATGTATGAAAGCAAAAGAATTTAAAATTTCATGTATGAATGTACACATGCATGTACCTGGTACAGTAGATACACAGAATCAGGTAGTGACATAGAAATAAAGTAATTTATAAAGAAAAAAAGGTGTATGCATACTGATTACTTTATGAAATATAATTATTACGTACCAGGAAATATATTATTCATGGGAAATATGTTCTAAATTTATTAAGATTGAAATAAAAATAAAAAGTTTAAAGATAATTTATTTATTTTATTTATTAATTACAAATGCCTAACACTAAATATTTAAAATATTTTCAAAAGTACATATTTACCTCTTCACATCTTTTGGCAACAAATGAAATTTTCGTGTCGGCTTTTTTTCATCCCAAACACTTCAAATAATGTTTACCCATTTTTATAAAAAAAAGTATTTTTTCACAACTATTTAAATTTTTTTTTAATATTGTACGTCTTTTCAAAATTTATTTTTATTATTTTTAAAAATTATATTACATAAATTATAATAATTTTTTTAACACTTTTTTTCTTCTTTGCTTTTATAATATAATACACATTTTTTGCCACCTTGTACTGGAATGAATTACAGAAATTATTGTGTCGCTTTTAAAATTCTTAATATTTTTCCCTATACTTTATATACAAGTGATTGCATTAGTGTGATGTAAACGGATAGTCGAACTACTTATTGCAGATATACTTTGCTGGAAATTTTAACTACAATTGTGATTATATATATTTTCGAGTTTTTTCCGCATTTGTTTTGAATCGTCATATCAGGCAACATATGACAGAGAATAAAGAGTAAAAAATTATAACACACTAAAAATTGCATGTCTGCCTGAGCCCTCAGGTCATGGCGCAATTGCTTTAAGTTAACAATCTATGTTGACTATGTTTGATTTCCTTTCTGTGAAATCGACAGCATAAATTTTTTCCTGTTTTTATATTCATAAACACAATTAGTAGAAAATATCAATCATAATTTTTGACACCAGAGATTTCGTTGGCAGCGCTGCTTCGATAGTTCTATTGTAGACCAGTTTTAACTAATAAGATCTCGCAGTCAGAAATGCAAACGCGAATTTAACCTACGACTTTATTTAAATATTTACTCAAAAACATTAGGTAACTACAATGGCTTAAAAATTTACAATGTCTCTTGGATAACATTAACCTTTGAAACTATGACTTCACCGAAAAAAATTTATTTGTGATAAATAGAAGGATGACTTTCATATGCAGAAATTTCGAAGGATGACTTTCATATGCAGCAAAAACGAAAGTGAAAAGAGATTTGATTGATTAAAAAACAAATTCACTCGTCTATTTACAAAGTAAATGCTTAAGTCGACATTATTTATCAAAATATACAAAAAAAAGTTTGATTACTTGAATTTTAGTTAGCGACATTGAAGTTATTAATAATATTAATTAATAACTTCGTAAATAATGAAGTTTTTAACTTATTAATAACTAAAAATATTGAAACTATTAATACGTTATACATATTCGTTTAAATCTATGTATCATTAATGTGAGCAAAACGAATGTGACAGAATATAAATGGAAATTGAAATTATAATGCGTTATACCTTTAATACCCTTAATTTGCTTTTGGTGATCATTATGTGCGATTGGAATATTTCATTTTAGTGATGAATGTGCGTGTAAACACTCCTAATGATCGTAAATTCTTTTTGAGTTATATGACAGTAAGTCAGCACTTCGACCAGTGTTGTCGTTTTTGCTGCAATTACAAAATTCTGCTGCAATTTAACATCATTTACCACCATTTTCTTTCCATTTGCTGCAATTTTTTACAAATTTGCAAATTTTTTTTGTTCTTTTGTTTGTTCAGATTTGAAGTTTCAAATCAAAATTTCTCAAAAATGATTCAAAAAATTATATGCGCCGACACTGAATTATTTTAATATAAATTTTTGAAAAAAAAAACCATACGTAGCATTGGAGTGGTAGGCTAGATGTTATTATGGGACTTAAATATTGATACTAATTACTATATAAATGTCAATCAAGCACAACTACGTTAGTGTTTAAGGCAAATAACGACGTACTACGTATATACATTTGCTGTCAAAATAATTTTAAACTTGTATATTTTAATGTAAACCGAAATACGCGACGTAGTGTTCGTTCAGCTTTTAATATAATAAAGTTGGGTCAAACCAATTGTTTGTATTTTAGTACTTTTCCCTTCAACAAGTGAAAATCCTGCGTTTAACAACTGTTTAAAAGTATGCTTATTATACTTTTAAAATTACTTTTATTCCTATACGAAACTATTTCATTAAGCATTGCATACATTTAGATTGAGCGATTTATGCAGTCTTTGAAATAAAGTAAAAATAAATTTAAGGAGGTGTTAATGTATTGCTCAATTTTTATGGTTAATTACATGAGTTAAGAAAAATAATATAAAATAAAATAAAAAAAAAAATAAATAGCTTGAGAGGGGGTAGAGGTGAAGAAAAAACTTTTCTAACAAAATGAATTATTGATTAGAATCTAAAAGCTGTTAAAATTTTAGATTTTTACAACCTAGGGTCTAGAAAAAAAATGTCATCAAATATGTATGTATATGGAAAAAGCGTATTTTAGATAACGATAAATTATAACGAACATTTTTTTTTTTCAAAATTCGAGTTTGGTTATTAGTTTCTAGCAAAAATCAATGTACATATAAAATTTCAGCTTCCTATCTTAAAGGGTGTAGAAGTGTTGTAAACCTGAGCTGACGGACCAAATATAAAAAAAGTTATGTTTAGTTTTCATCTCAAAATATAATTTTTGGATATTGGAAAGATCAACAGATCAAGTTATATTTAGATTTAACCATATTTTTATCATAATTGTCAATGAATATAATAATTTTATAGATAAATTATAATTTTATATTAATACTTTATTGTTATACTAAATAATTGCCATATATTTAAACAATGTCCTTTTGATGGATCCATATATTACAAAAAAATTTAATGCAGCACAACCGAAACGACAGCGCTGGCTTCGACTAAATGACATTTGGTTAAAAAGATAAGAGTCAAGATAGAATAAGTAGTATATGAAATAAAAAGTAGTCAACGTTTTAAGAATAATGCAGAAAGAAAGATAAAAATTACTAAAGCGAAGTTTACAATTTTTTAAGCTATATTTAAGTAATTTGACAAATTTATTTCATTGATAAAAGCATTTAATTTTCCTATAAAATACGTAACAGAAATCTTTGATACAAACAAATAATCAATCAGGAGAAGTACTGGATTGTAATAACAAGTCTCATAAATAGAAACTTAAATAAATTGTGAGTACATACATATATATTTCTATTTGCCTATTTAATATGTATGCAGTTTAAAAGATCATATTTTAATTGCCATGCAATATCAATTCATGCGGACAATGATGAGTCATTTAAAGATAGTGAAAGAAAGTTTCGATACGTGATCTACCTTCGCACAAACTATAAATCCAATATGTCTACCTACATATGTACATCTATAACTGCTTGTTATAGATTTAATAAAGTTCTTACTTAGTTTTTCATTCGTTATTAAAACTTTTATTTAGAATTCTCGAAATATACTGATAAAGATAAGATTATTTTGATAAATTCCTTTGTTAACAATAAAAAACCATTTTAACTCTTTTTAGGAAACGACAATGGCAACCACAGAAAATACTGTTCCATCTGGGCCAAGCAAGTAAGTATATGAAAATAGGCCTGTTCTAGGTCCTGTTTTTATTTTTTTTTTTATTAAATATAATAAAATATTGAGATTTGGTAGCATGTCCTGAAATCTCGATATTCCGTTATTTATTTCTGTTCATTAAATGGTTTCATTGAATAATTTCAAAACTATAATCATTACATCATAAGGGTCTAATCGTCTCTCTCCCTATTTTACTCGACAACTGAGAAGAAAGTTAGTAACTATCACACATTTGTAGAATGTAATTTTCGAGTGAGAAGTATAATTTGGTATTGTTTTTTCTAAAATGTATATAAAATTTATTACCTTTATTTTTCAAAATAAAGCTAATAATTTTTCATTAGTCGATAATTTGAGAAAAATTCAAAAATCCAGTTGAAATATGAGTAACCTTATTGGAAAAATGAAATATCGATTAGAAGAACGAAGAATTCTGGTTTGAAAATGAATAAAAATTGAGTAAAAAAGCGGGATATACGATTAGTCTGTGATAAACTTGGTTGAAACTTTGGAAATTTAAAACATGTTCAGTAATTTAAAAATTTTTTTTTCATTTTATTTTTTTTTTTTCATGTTTTAACGATAATTTATTTATTTATGTATACATATATATTATAGATACCGATTTTAAAAAAAGAATTTATTACGAGTTCTTTTTTTTCATGCTGTATTACGTTCTTTTTCCAAAAAAAAATCTGGTACGACATTAATTTAAACTATGTGACTAAAATTTTGAGAACTTATAAAATCTTTGTCAATATAGTTTATAGTGATATGCAGCAGGTAATTTTTGCAATAACACAGCAGAACTATTTTTTTTCGAGTGGTGTGCTTTTAAATCAAAAAAACTAATACTCAAAAAAGTAGCTTGAGGAAGATAAAAATTGTCTTCTGTGTAGCCTTATAAACTAAATACAATGACAATTATAAAACTTACCAAAATTTTTTATTGTAACTAATTTGGATTAGTTTTAAATCAAAAAAAGAACGATAATAACCACATTAAATAATGTTTAGTTTTCCTTCCATACCTCCTCCCCCATCTAGCGGTCAAGCTCAACCAAGCCTAGCCCAAAAACGGTTACAACAGACACAAGCTCAAGTTGATGAAGTTGTTGGTATTATGAAAGTTAATGTAGAAAAAGTTTTGGAAAGAGATCAGAAACTAACGGAATTAGATCAGCGGGCGGATGCATTACAACATGGGGCATCGCAATTCGAACAACAAGCTCAAAAACTGAAGCGAAAACATTGGTGGGCCAATATTAAAATGATGATAGTCATGGGAGTGATTGGAGTCGTTTTATTAATCATAATAATTGGTAAGTAAATTTAAGGACACTTGGATCTCATGTATTTGTTAATGATGTACATAAATTATAGTTTTTACATAATACATGTTTTATTTTTGTTTGCTAAGCGTTTTTTTTAAAACTGAAAGTAAAAACATATAATATGTATGTATTTTTCTATATATGCAGTAAAAAAAGTAATTAATAAAGTGCAACATCAAAATATAATTTAAAATATTAAATTTTCATAAAAATGTGATTGTATAAAACGAGCATTTAAACATGTCATAAAAAAAGTATCACTAGTCTTTTGTAAGTAATAGATGGATGAGTACTGGTTCGTATTTTTAATAACAATATTTAGTTTTTCATGAAGTATAAATTAATCAAAGATATCTTGGTGTTCTTCTTAAGTAAAATAAAATTACATATTTAAAGGGCGGTAGATATGTACATAATATGAATAAATTTTATTGTATTTCATTTAATAGTTTTTTAACTTAATATATTTTTTCCCTCAGTCCTCAAATGCGTTTGCTTTAGAAATATGTGTGTTTTTCTTATTAACTAGCTTAAAAAAATTGCAACCTTTATAATTAAACGTTGCATAGCTCTTATACTAAACCTCTTTGTATTATTAGAGAAATTTTATTTTTGTTCATTGTTCTTTACAAAACACTTTTAGTTTTGCTATATTATGTACTATTGTTATTTGGATTACAATATCCTTTGGTACGGATGGTCTTACTATGTAATTTGGTTTTCCTGAAAATATTTTCGTATTTGCAGAAATGAAAGTAATTACCATTCAAATTGATTGGCATTTTTTTTTAAATCAAATTGATTGGCCCACCATTTTTCCAAATACGAAAATTGTTCCATTAAAATCTAATTACATAGAATTTTAATAGACCCCCTAAGCTATATAAATTAATTAAATTGCGTAATAATAGCTTTATATATTAGTTTAGTACAGAATCAAAAGAAAACATTTATCATATTGAGCTGATCTGGGATTTCTGGCTTTGTTAACCAAAAATTTAAGTTTTAATTTTTATTTTTAGGTAACCATAAGACTACCTTCGGGAAGTAAAGATGAAATTGATTTTAATAAATAATTTAAGAGCGTTTTTTACAATTTACTAAAATTAATTAACATATCGATTTTAGATTTTTTAAAAAATTATCCTCAAAATTCTTTCACCAGTTTTCTTTTTTCTTATATTCAATTTGTTAAAAAGATTTATATCTTTACTTTATTGTAAACATATCGATATTTAACTGTATATGTTGATAAACTAATTTTTTTGCTAACATACTTAAACTGGTTAGTAATTGGTTTTACTAATATTTTGTTTCGTTTTAATATAATGATCATGATAATGCAAAAATTTTTTTTTTATTTTTTCAGTATTATTATTCAACTGATTTTCACAACTATAAAATACTGTTAAATGATGAAATTAAAAATGAACAGTGAATCTATTATATCTATAAATTCCAGAAGACTTAGAAATTAAAATATTAAATAGACATCCTACAACTTGATAATGTTTAATCGTAATATATTCTGATTTCTTATGAACACATATTTTTGTCTTCTTAAACCCTCTTGTTATATTATAAACGTAATACACACATACGTGTAGCATAGTATGTTTTTATATTTTAGAAAAGTTTTTTCTTATATTATTTTTTTTTTCACAAAAAAATTCAAATAGTATCATTGTTCCTTTTCTAGCAAATTTAAATCTAATAAATCCCTTTTATGGAAAAAAATATGAAAAATATATAAATATGTAATTTATAATAACTCGGTTATTTTAAAAAAATATAAGTGAATATGTATATATAATTATTTTGTATTTTTGTATCCTATGCTTCATTGTTTGCGGCCCTCTTCATTTCTTTTTTTTTACTTAGAAATTAGACACAAAATCAAAATTTGATGTATGGAGAAACTTCTAAAAATGCATAAGTGCAGATTTGTAGAAGATATTAAAAAACTGTATTTAAAATTTGAATTAATGGATAATGATATTTAATTTTTTTTTATGAGATGTTTGTTTTGTTTTTGTTGCTAATATTAATTTCTAATAGAACATGGAAGTTACTCAATTAACTTAATTTTGAAAAAGATTAATAACATAAAGTGAAAAACTTTTGTGCTACAAAAGATTAATACTATTTACCATTTTTATAATTATATACGTATATGCTGTCTCATCAATTAATTATAATTTTATTTCGAAAATCTGTAAGAAACCTACATAACAATTTTTATAAATTATTTTAGTCTCTTTCTTACCTAGTGGAAGTACATCATCAAGTGGTCAAGTCGAAAACCCTGATTCATCACCATGAAACAGAATGTTGTGTAACTTTTAAAAATAAATATATGTAGCTAAAATTATGTTTTCTAAATTTATGTTTTGTTATACGCACATTGGTGATTATTATTTGATTAAAAACTCTAATTATTAAATTGTAATCAAAAACTATATAAAATATATGTGTATAATTTAATAAAAGATGTTAGAAAAAAAAAACAAAATATTTTCAAACAGAATTTGAATATTTGATATTGTTTTATCCACTTTATTTGTTATATGAAATTGGTGTCTACAAATTACAAAATTTATGGGGTATTACATATAATTAAAAATATAAAAAATGTATTTCATACATAACAAAATAATTAAGTTGTATACAAATTAATATAATAAAAATAAATAAATAATAGTAAGCCACAATTGTAATTATTTTTTGAAAAGTCCAAAATAAGGTGATTTGATATTGTGTCTGGTATTTATTTAATAAATAGGAGTAGATTTTGGCAACGCAATGCTTTATTGCAGACTACTTGTATATGAAATTTTTATTAGTGAACTTCTGTTAATGACCCTTAATGAATCATATGAACTTTACAGTAATATGAAAAATTTAATTGACTTTTTTGAAGACGAAGAAGAAGTAAGGATCACACGATGAAAGAATAGAGATCTTTTGTTGGAGGTCTTATACTATGTATTTAATTCATTAGAAATTTTGATCCAAAATTTATGGGCACAACATTTCTTGCAATCCGTGATCCGTAATAATTAAAGCATTGTTGGATTATACTAAAAAAGATTTAAGTACGGTATTAACATGGTTGTAATACCGTCTCAGAGCTTTCAATATCTTTATATTGTAAGAAAAACTACTAAAGCTTTTGGTACATTTTGGAATACAATTTTTACCATATCTAATGTCTTTATAATGTCTTTATATCTAACAAGTCCCAATGCTCAGAGAGAAACTTGAAAGCACGACCTTATTTTATATGGGTTTTTTTAAATCGAAGTGGCTATTTTTTGAGAAGAAATATTAAAATAAATTAACACTTATTATAAAGCAGGTAATATTAAGAAAATATATTTGAAAAATCAAAAAAATATATTAATATTTTCATTTATAATTATTTTAAAATTCTTGAAACAGCGGAAAAGCTACAAGCAAAACCTTCGCCTTCAACGTTTTATATGTTACTGAAAGCATTTCATTATTTTGTAAAACAAGTCCCAATGCTCACAGAGAAACTTGAAAGCACGACCTTATTTTATATGGGTTTTTTTAAATCGAAGTGGCTATTTTTTTAGAAGAAATATTAAAATAAATTCACACTTATTATAAAGCAGGTAAAATTTAGAAAATATATTGGAAAAATCAAAAAAATATATTAATATTTTCATTCATAATTATTTTAAAATTCTTAAAACAGCGGAAAAACAACAAGCACAACCTTCGCCTTCTATGTTTTATATATTACTGAAAGCATTTCATTATTTTTAAGTGAACAGCTTTTTTTTTGTCATAGGGTAAGTTAACTCAAGATATGGGAAGTAACTTTGGTGTCAAGTTGAAAATATAATTAATGAAAGATAATTATTGAATATTGAAAAAAAAAAATTTTTTCTTTACATAGTAAAGAAAAAATTTGAAAAGGGAATTGAATAATATCTAAAATACAATCAAATATTATTTTTTAAATACAAATTTTATATACACTTCTAAATTTTGTCTCTATTTGTGAGAAAATTTTTTGAAACTTAATATATTACCTGAGTAACAAAATATTTAAAAGGTTTTGGAAAAGACAATAATATATTTTATGACCGGATTCGAATATTTTTTTTATATTTGAAATATATATTATCTTACGAGTAGCAAATGACTCAAAAACTCCGATTGTAAAATGACAGGTAGTAGGTACTGATGTAAATTTTTGTCCGTTTGCGTTTACTATTAAGACTCATACACAGGCAGGGTCATTTTATAAATAGATTGCTCTTGTTTACCTGCTAATAAAATATGAAAGAAGTGCACAACAAAATTCTTGAAGCACTCAATATAACATGTTTGAAATAGTTTTAAAATAATTATTTAAAAAAAATTTATTGGAAGTAGGTACATACATATTTATTTTCAATAACTTAAAAACTAATTGAATTTATGACCTATCTTAATTCTAAACGGAAAGAATATTACATAAAGAACAAAAATTTTAAAATACCTGTTATTTTACAGTCGGAATTTTTGAGTTATTTGGTAAAATACCATTTATTTCAAAAATAAAAAAAATATTCAAATCCGGTCATAAAAATATATGATTGTTTTTTCCAAACATTTTTAATTTTTTTTTTTCTTAGGTAATTGATATAAATGATAGTAAGTTTTTAATATTTTTTCAAATAAAAATAGAAGTAAAATTTTGAAGTTTATATAAAATTTGTATTTAACAAATAATATTTTATTGTATTTTAGATATTATTTTATAATTCCCTCTTCAAATTTTTTCTTTACTATGTATTTATATCAATATTTAAGAATTATCTTTCATTAATTATATTTTCAACTTGACAACACAGTTACTCCCCATATCTTGAGTTAACTTACCCTATGAGAAAAAAAAGCTGTTAAGTTAAAAATAATGAAATGCTTTCAGTAACATATAAAACGTTGAAGGCGAAGGATGTGCTTGATGTTTTTCCGCTTTTTTTTAAATTTTAAAATAATTATCAATGAAAATATTAATATATTTTTTTGATTTTTCAAATATATTTTCTAAATTTTACCTGCTTTATAATAAGTGTGAATTTATTTTAATATTTCTTCTCAAAAAATAGCCACTTCGATTTAAAAAAACCCATATCAAATAAGGTCGTGCTTTCAAGTTTCTCTCTGAGCATTGGGACTTGTTAGTTATAAAGACATTGATTAAACTCTTTTTTACGTGAAAAAAAGAAAAAAATAATAAGAAATATGACACGATCAGTAGCATTTAAAGAAAAAAAAAAAACAGGAACGAAGCCAAAAATTCGTAATATTTCGTAAAAAAAATTGAGTATTGGGACTTATTAGATGTAAAGACATTAACGGTATTAACACGGTTGTAGTAACCTCTCAAAGCTTTCAATACCTTTACATTAATGTCTTTATTATTTAATGTCTAAATTATTATAACAATTTATTACTGTTATTTTATAATCGGAGTTTTTGAGTCATTTGCTAAGATAATATTTATTTCAAAAATAAAAAAGATTTTATTTTTTTATTTTATTTATTTTATTTATTTATTTATTATACTTTATTCTCTGAATTATTACAAAAATTTTACTTAAACTAAGAGAATAAGAAAACGGCATTATTATTTAAAGAAAAATAGTGTAAATGCCTAATTATGTTGTTAAAAATTATTATTTAAATCAACATTTGCATAATAATACAAATACTCTATAGAAAAAAATATTAAATTATTACAATTATTAATTTCAATCTGCAAAAATACTAGTTAACAGTACAATATAATAAAAAATTACAATTCTACCATTTACTTAAATTATATACTTATACATACTTAATTTATAATTTACAAAAAATATATATTTTAATTTAAGATATAAAATTTAATACCCAATAAAAAAAAAATAAAAATATTAAAGTAGACTACTTAACAAATTATCTACTTCACTATGCTCTAAACATAAAAGCCATTCTTTTATACTTTTCAAAAACTTATTTAAATTTCTAATAGCACGTATTGGTTGTGGAAGTCTGTTAAACAAGCGGACGGAAGTTATATCAAAAAAGTTTCGGTAATTTGTTGTTCTAAAAACTGGAACATTAACTAAGAATCTCTGATTAATGCGCAAACCAAAGCGATTTGAAGCGCTACTGTTTAAGTAACCTCCTCTTATGTAAAAAACCTTTAAAACCCTATAATAATAAAGTTGTGTAGCAGGAAGAATTTTCGAACTTCTAAATAAATCCATACTATGAAATAAATGATGTCTATTGCAAATTTTTCTAATTAAACATTTTTGTAAGATTAGAAGGAGATAAATTTTATTCTTTAAAGTACCACCCCAACAACTAATGCCATATTGTAACTTAGAATGAAAAATGCCATAATAAAACATCAAGAGGGTTTTCTGCGAACAAATTTTGTTCAAGCGATAAAAATAACGCAAAGTAGAGCGCAAATAAGACTTAATGGCATTTGTGTGCGCTGACCAATTCAACATACTATCAATAAACACACCTAAGTATTTGAATTGATTGACTTCTTCTACTATAAAGCAAGAGGAGTTACAGCAGCCAGAATGTACAATGTTAACATTATGGTTATTATCACTATCCATAAAAACACTTTTGCAACCAGAAGAATGAAAAACATGATTAATATCAGAAAGTTCCTTTTGCATAAGATTAAAAAACATTAGTTTTGTTTTATCACTAACACTTAGCTTATGTCGGAAGAACCAGTATCTTAATAAGCTAAGATCTTTATTGATTG